AAACGTTTGGTGAAATCAAATCGTAAAAAAACAATAGTAGAACTCACGGCTATGTTTAATAGTGAAAGTAAGAGCATTTCCACACGCACAATGTGAAGGGAACTCAAGGGATTGGGACTAAACAGCTGTGTAGCCTTAAGAAAACCACTTATCAGTGAGGAGCATAAAGATTGGACTCTGGAGCAATGGAAGAAGGTCATGTGGTCTGATGAGTCCAGATTTACCCTGTTCCAGAGTGATGGGCGCATCAGGGTAAGAAGAGAGGCGGATGAAGTGATGCACCCATCATGCCTAGTGCCTACCGTACAAGCCTGTGGGGGCAGTGCTATGATCTGGGGTTGCTGCAGTTGGTCAGGTCTAGGTTCAGCAACGTTATGTGCCCAAAGAATGAGGTCAGCTGACTACCTGAATATACTGAATGACCAGGTTATTCCATCAATGGATTTTTTCTTCCTTGATTGCACGGGCATATTCCAAGATGACAATGCCAGGATTCATCGGGCTTAAATTGTGAAAGAGTGGTTCAGGGAGCATGAGACATCATTTTCCCACATGGATTGGCCACCACAGAGTCCAGAACTTAACCCCATTGAGAATCTTTGGGATGTGCTGGAGAAGACTTTGTGCAGCGGTCCGACTCTCCCATCATCAATACAAGATCTTGGCGAAAAATAAGAATGTACACAACTGTTCTAGTCAGTGAGATTTTGGGAAAGACACTGAAGACTGGAGTAATGATGCTGAAAATTCACCTTTGCATCACAGAAATAAATGACATTAAAACAGAAACAGTTATTTTAAATTGTAATAATATTTTACAATATTACTGTTTTTACTGTAGTTTTAATCAAATAAATGGAGACTTTTTGAGCATTAGATACTTCTTTTCAAAAACATAACTACCTCAAACTTTTGAACGGTAGTGTATATACACTGCCCGTCCAAAAAAAAAAAAGACACCACCTGGATTTAACTAAGCAGCCTGGACTTTCTCTTCTCCTCCAGCTCCTTCTGGATCTTATAGATCTTCTCAGCCAGAAAGTGGTAATACTCATCCTGGACACGAGATGTTATAAAAACATGAGCCACCTGGTGCCTTCTTACAGTCACAAAACACCGTCCTGAAAGAAGGGTAAGACGTAGCAAGAAAGTTTGTGCGCTTTACCCTGCTGTTGGCAGACTCGTACATGTCCCCTTCCACCTTACGCGCATAAGCGACCAAGTTCTCCATGCGTCTGTCCTTCAGTGCTGCAGGGTCTGGGGTCGGGAATATGGCTTGAACTCTGTAGGGAAATACAGGGTTAAGAGAACTGCCCTTGACAAATCATGAATTTGAAACATGATGACTTTAACTCACAGCTTGTGCACTAGGTGATTCCTCAAGTCCTGAGTGACATGCTCGTGCCAGGGCTTCTTCATGCCAGGCATTGACAGCGGCGCAGCTGTGGGCAGGTTCCCCGTGCCGCCCATGTTCAACCCGTCTGGCATCATCTGACTGTGGGAGCAGGATTACAACATTAGTTTTCAAGTTTTGCCTTCCCGAAAACTTAAATTCTTCAAGCAAAAATCAAAGAACGTACTGGTGTGACGACATTTCGCTCAAAATCAGGCCAAAAACAAAAATCGTTTTGAGTTTGTTTCAATGTTAGTTTTTAAAATATTTTTCCATTTTATCATCTCAGATTTTCACATTCAACCGTTTATTGCTACAGAATTGCTGTAAAATCATTCTACAATGACATTGTTTGCACTCTTACATTGCTGGACTCTACAGATGAACATTTCCTGCTTTGCAATATGTGTGAGAGGTTAAAGGTGAGGGGTGAAAGTGAAGAGACTCACTTGTTGAGGGATAAGGGGAGAGAGGAATCAGTGTGAAGGTTCGTCTGATCGGCCATACCATTACCGCCGATGTTCATCTGGTTAGTGCCTGAAGATGTTGTGGGAAACCAGACAGGGGTTACACACGGATACACAATATGAGGAGCAGCATGACGTTACAATGCATACTGACAGCAGATGCAATTAAATCTATCGTTTATAGACCATGATGCACTTGATGCCAATTTTGATCTTTATCCATGCATTTAGCAAATCTAATTACGCAATAAAGATTCTGATGCACTTGTGCATGTTTGAAGATATTTGATAAATTGCATTTAGTAGATATAATTATGCAATAGAATTCTGATGCACTTGTGTGCATGTTTAGTAAATGGCTCACAGTAATCAATACGATGCAAGATGAAGTTACAGAATGACAGCAGCTTTCAAGGCTAATAATGAAAAATACGCAATAAATATTCAGCTCTTCCTCAAAAAACTTTTTCGATTTCCTTGCGAATTGAAGTTGCTACCTAGTGCAGGCATGGAGCGCATCTGCTGCTGCTGGGTCTGCGTGGGCTGCTGTCCTGCGACCTGTGTCTGTGCAGCTGGCTGGTTCCCGTACGGGAGGCCGAGTGCGGCGTATGCCCGCTGCATAGAGCTGGGGTCTATGTGCGTGCCGCTGCTGATGGCGGGCGTAGCGGGTTGACTCGTGCCCACAGGGCCCAGCGGAGCCTGCATGCCAGTGTTAGGAGAGCTCAGCATCGCTGCAAATAGAAGAAACAATGTTTGTTGAATCAAATCAAACTACTTTTATTCATGTATTCTGAAGGTTTTTGCAGAGGGATTTTGTTATATATAATTCACCTGATTTACATATTTTATTCCTAAAAACATGGTAAAAATTTATTTTTATCTGACTGTTGATAAAGAGAGCTATCCAAAATCCCCTCTGCTTCAACTTTAATTTGTCCACTAAATAAAAGAACTTTGAACCTGGCTTTATCCATTGTTTAGATTTCTGTTCTGGAAGTATATGCAAAATGAGTGCATAAATAATTAGAAATTTAAACATAACATTTAAGAAAGTATGCAGTACTAAAAAAAGTCTACAAATCTTAATGTAATCAATCAACTGGGGAAGTATGGTGATATCTATCAGTTAATTTAACCTAGTCATCTGGGTTGTCTTGCCTTGAAACGTAATAAATGCATTTCAAGAATTATTTCTCTTCGGAATAATTGCAATCTTGCAGTAATTCCACTTGATCTGGAAACAGAAGTGACTGAAGTGGAATAGCCATTTTGCAAACACAGAGCACTTCGAGCAGCGGCATAGAACAGAACTGCAAGAGACACTGAGAGAGCGTGCTTCTGTTGCCACTACAGGGGGATTTAAACGAGTCAGTGATCGGCTGTCCAATCAGAGAGCGGGAGCTCTGTGTGTCCCGCCCCCTGTGAAAAACCAGGGGTGGAGCCCCTCCCCCCCAGTGTCAGATTACAGTCCCGCTGCCTGCCGGAATCCGCTGCTGGTCTCATGCTTTCACATTCAGAGCGCAGCCGAGCTGCACACACGACCTACAGGTGGCAGCACTCATCTGAAAGCACCCCGTATCTCAAAGCAAGAGATGCAAACACACAATCAGTAGAGGAACAAACCTGAGTTCATAGATTTAAAACATTAATTTAGACATTTTTATACATTTAAAATAGTCAATTTTGTGTATCAGGGCAGGAAGGACGATTTTCATTTTCACTTTTTTTTTTTTTTTTGCATTGATCAAATTGCAAAAAATCTCAATGGCCCTAATAAGAGACTAAATATTTATGCAAAATATTTAGTTATTTGTGAGATTCAGCCATTAACTGTACTAATTCAATCACATGATAGTGCTGGGAACTTTTTTGTTTGTTTGTTTCATATGCAGTGTTACCATGAAGTAGCATGAAGTACAACCTCGATCTATGAAAATATGATCAAAATCCAGCTTGGAAAGTAAGCTCATGCACATACCTGCAAACTCACAAGAGGTCAAAAAGGTGACAGTTCAGAATATGACCCTTTAAATATGAAACCAAACCACCAGTAGATGATGGTAAAAGACTGTTTTAATGAGCGAGTCATTAGTCATTCATTCAAACGCTGATTCATTCAAAAACGAGGCAAGTGACTAATGTCTTTATGAATGGGTTACTGAATCATTGACTCATCACTTGATTCGTTCAAATACGTGGATTCATTCAGTATCGAAACACCGCTGTGTTGCTCGGAGACACAAAACAGTTCTGCTGTGGCTTTGATTGAAACTTTGTCAGCGAACTTGAGCAAAAACAGTCAATATTGTATTACAAATTGCGAACTTTGTGTCTGTTTAATTTACAATGAAGAACTTCCACGCCGACATGTTTACATGCGGCTGTGAGCGAAAGTGTGAGGTAAAAACGGACCGGCTGTGAGATGAGGTGTGTTCGATTTGAAGCAGCAGCGCGCATCGTCTGCGCATCGCTGCTTCAAGTCGAACCGAGAAAGGGACTTTGGTCGAACACGCTCGTCTACGAGCTTGCAATTTCTCTCTATATATCGATATTTTTTTTATAAGCAATTCGATATGAGGCAATACAGTTTATATCGATATACAGTAGTTTGATACGAGCGCATTTGAAAATATAGTGGAGGACACAGATTGAGCTGCTGTGGAGAAAGTGCATATTCCAATTTGTTCTAAGCATGTGACAAGCTTCATATTAAGGCCTTTAAAAACTGGTAAGACATGGTATAGTTTATAGTTTCGCACATTATTTTAAGCGGCTCGGCCCATCAGATGCTCGGGCAGAAAGGCTGCGTGTGCCGCTGACAGAGACACTAGGCTACTCGTGCTGTTTAATGTGTTTGAGATGTGCTGTCTTCTTGAATGCATAACTTACATTTCACAGGTATATTCTCCATCTGTAAATGTTAGAAAGTCATGGAAATATTTCCATTTTTCTGTCAAGAGTGCATGAGCCTTCTGCTTTGGGATTATCCGCTAAACTTCAGACTTCAGTGAACGAGCGCCGCCACGCACATGCGCGCCAAACAGACGGAGCTCAATTAAATAGTTTGTTCTAAACATGTGACAAGCTTCATATTAAGGCCTTTAAAAACTGGTAAGACATGGTATAGTTTATAGTTTCGCACATTATTTTAAGCGGCTCGGCCCATCAGATGCTCGGGCAGAAAGGCTGCGTGTGCCGCTGACAGAGACACTAGGCTACTCGTGCTGTTTAATGTGTTTGAGATGTGCTGTCTTCTTGAATGCATAACTTACATTTCACAGGTATATTCTCCATCTGTAAATGTTAGAAAGTCATGGAAATATTTCCATTTTTCTGTCAAGAGTGCATGAGCCTTCTGCTTTGGGATTATCCGCTAAACTTCAGACTTCAGTGAACGAGCGCCGCCACGCACATGCGCGCCAAACAGACGGAGCTCAATTAAATAGGAGTGCAATAATTGACTAAAATGTACATTCGCTGAAATATTTGTAGTTGGACAATAAATGTGACACGTAGAATTTTAAACCTACAAGTAAGTCTATTTTTATGATAGCACTGACTCTTAAGTGACAGTAATGGGGCAGGGCTCGCAAAATTTAAAAATCGCTGGTAGCCCTTCGGGCAGATATTCTTCAGATTTTGGTAGCCCAAAATGAATTTAAGTAGTCCGAATAAAAAAAAAAAAATTTTTTTAAAAAGACATCGGCTGAACTTCACTGCGGACAAATCAGCATGATTAAAAACTTCAGTGATCGCTTTTTTTCTTCAAATAACAAGTCAAGAGAGTAGGGGTGCAACGGATCACAAAACCCACGGCTCGGATCATATTGCATTATCATATCATATTTTGAGTAACAGATCGGGCCATTTTGCAGACGAGCAAAAAAAAGATGGTTCTTTATTATTTAAATAACAGAATACTTCTTTGATACCGTTAGCATCTCGCTCAAAAATGACCAAAGAGTTTCTATATTTTTCCTATTTAAAACTTGACTCTTCTGTAGTTACATCGTGTACGAAGACCGACGGAAAATGAAAAGTTGCGATTTTCTAGGCCGATATGGCTAGGAACTATACTCTCATTCCGGCGTAATAATCAAGGAACTTTGCTGCCGTATAGTTCCTAGCCAGCTACAGCTAAAAGTGCTACCGCCAGACCCGGAGATCGGCTGAATGGATTCGAAAACGTCTGATCTTTATTTTGGTGTATTGCATATTCAAATATATACTGGAGGCCATCAAATTTGAGTGAAAATTATCAAAATCGCTGGCGGTGGCTGGCAACTTTTTTCAAAAATGCTGGCGGGGAAAGAGTTAAGACCGAATGCACGGATCCAATATAATAGCCCCGTTTCCACTGCAGGATCTTTACCCAGGAACTAGGGACTTTGGACCGGTACTCGGTGCGTTTCCACCGCAGGAACCAGGATCTAAATAAAGTTCTGGGTAAATATTTGCCCCTCAGAAAGTCCCCGCTCGCGAGGTAGTACTTTTTCAAAGGTCCGGAACTTTCGGGGGCGGGACTTGGGCGCAGAGCATGCTGATTGGTTGAGTTCACGCAGCATTGTATTTCAACCACCATTTATTCAGATAATTTTCAAAATATTACTGTTATTGTGTCATGAAAATGTAGTTTTAAAAGTATTTCAGGCGAGAATGCAGTTGTTTAAAACTCAAATCTATGGTTTATTTATAAAGCCAGCGCCTATTTGAAAATGTGCTTCGCCGATTTCGGAGACGTGATCTCTACGCGATCAGCGGGCGCTCAGTGGTCATGTTTCCCGATGAGAGCAGCCTCAACTCGGCTAGGCCTTCTGACATTTGCCGCTGGCTCTGATGTCTCTGTAGTGGTTAAACATAAGATATAGTTAGTTTTGGGTAAATCTAACAGGTAATCTTTTGTCGGAATCGGAGACAGCAACAGGTCTGGGGAATAAAGCTCCTGGGACAAATTGTAGATGCACTTGAGATTTCTTTCTTCACTGTTTACGTTCACTTAAGACATAACTGACTGTGTTTGCGAGAATACTTGCCAAGACAGTTATTTTGAGATAATTTTGTGTGTATGTGTTCATTCAGATGCAAGGA